TCACAATGGCAAAACGTTTCCCTTTGAGGAATTTTTCATCTGGGGAACCAAAAAATAGAAAGTTGCTTGGGCACGATAAGGTGAATAGGGAGGGTGGGGCTTGGAGGTCATGCTGTTTTGGGTCAAAAACTTCTGAACACTCAGCATGGTGTGGGCAGTTGCACTTGTAAATTACCCATTGGGAACTGGGCAAACACATTGAAAAAGGCTTCAAAAAAATTCACCGAAGCCAAACGTAGCCTCTCACACCAATGTTAACTGGTACACTGATACAGTTGGGGTGCTAGAACACTCATCTAGTGTGAGAAGCCTCTACTACAAGGGGCCCTCCCTCCGGAAAATAATTCTGGTTTGTGGGGGTTCACCTCGCACATCTAACAAGGGGTTAATATCCAAAATTTATAAAGAATTTATAAAATTCAACACCAAAAATCCCAACAATTTAATGAAAAAATGGACAAGGGACTTGAATAGACACTTCTCCAAAGAAGACATAGAGATAGCCAATAGACATATGAAAAGATGCTCAACGTCACTAATTATAAAAGAAATGCAAATTAAAACCACAATGAGATATCATATCACACATGTCAGAATTGCTGTAATCAATAATCAACAAACAACAAGTGCTGGTGAGGATGTGGAGAAAAAGAAACCCTCTTTGCACTGTTGGTGGGAATGCAGACTGGTGCAGCCACTATGGAAAACAGTATGGAATTGCCTCAAAAAATTAAAAATGCAATTACCTTATGGCCCAGCAATTCCATCTTTGGGAATTTATCTGAAGAAACCTGAAACACTAATTTGAAAGAATATAGGTACCCCTATGTCCATTGCAGCGTTATTTAAAATAGCCAAGATTTGGAAGCAGCCCAAGTGCCCATCAGTAGATGAGTGCATAAAAAAAGTTGTGGTTCATTTATATAATAGAATACTACTCAGCCATTAAAAAGAGGAAACCTGCCCTGGCTGGCATAGCTCAGTGGATTGAGTGTGGGCTGTGAACCAAAGTGCTGCTCGTTCTATTCCCAGTCAAGGCATATGCCTGGGTTGCAGGCCGAGTCCCCACTTGGGGGCACACAAGAGGCAACCACACATTGATGTTTCTCTCCTTCCCTTTCTCTCTCTCTATAAATAAAAATAAAATCTTTAAAAAAAAAGAGAGAGGAAACCTTGCCTTTTGCAACAGATGGAGGGACCTGGAGAGTACTGAGTGAAATAAGCCAGTCAGAGAAAGAAAAATACCATATGATTTCATTTACATGTGGAATCTAATGAACAAAATAAACAAAATAGAAATAGAGTCAGACACAGAGAACAGCTATCAGTGGGGAGAGTGGATGAGGGACTGGAGAAAAAGGTGAGGGGATTAAGGGGAACAAACCTCATACACAGAGGACAGTGTGATTAGCAGAGGAAGAGTGGCAGGGGCAGGTAGAAAAGGGGAAATGAATGGTGACAAGAAGACTTGACTTGGATGGTGAACACACGATGCCATGTACAGATGATGTATTGTGAACAGAATTGTATGCTTAAACCTATATAATTTTATTAACCAATGTCACCCCAATAAATTCAATGAAAATTGAAAAACACCAAAGTAAACAATTTTTAAAAATAAGGTAAATAATAGGGGAATCTATGAGATCAAAACATTATCTGAAAAGATGAATCTAAGTATAAAACTCTCATTAGACTGATTAGTAAAATAATGAGAATTTACCATTAAAATTTACCATTTACCATTACCAGGAATGAGATGTCATCAGTACAGATTCTACAAATATTAAAAAGATAACGCTATGAACTATTTATTCCAATAAATTCAGTACATTAGAACGGAAAAATTCTTTTAAAATCTAAACTACTAAAGATCACCCAAGAAAAAGATAACCTGAATAGTCCTATATTTATTGAAAAAAATATTTAACACCCCTCTCCCATCCCCAAGACACAACCCCAAATTCAGATGGCTTCCTTATATAATTCTAGCAAACATTAAAAAAGAAAATAATACTAATTCTACATAAACATCCAGAAAATTGAAAAGGGGAGGCAATGTCCCAAAGACACTGTAGAAAAATGAGATTCATCCCTCATGAATATAAATACAAAAATTTTTAATAAGTAGCAAATTCTTGCAACAATAGATAAAAAAGATAATACATCATGACTAAGTAGAATTAACCAAAGAACACACAGTTCCTTTAACATTTGGAAATCAAGCAGTGAAATTCATCACATTAAAAAACCTCAGGAATAACTACATAATCACATAGATAGAGGGAAAAAATGACAAAATTCAACATCCGTGTCCGATTAAAAAAAAAAAAAAACTTTCCAGAAACTGGGAATAGAAACTTCAATTTGACAAAGGAGATCTATATAAAACCCATGACTAACATTCTGAATGCTTTTCTCTTAACATTAGGAACAAGGCAAGGATGTCTCCTTTCAACATTTCTATTGAAAATTATATTGAAAGTTTTAGCCTGTGTTACACGGCAAGAGGAAAAAAAAGCATATATATAGACTGTGATATAAGAAATAAAACTCTATTTTCAGAAGACAAGATCGTCTACATAGAAAATCTAATAGACTTAATAATAAATGATTCAGCAAGGTTGTAGGATATAAGATCAGTCAGTTGTATTTAGATATACTGACAAAAATTATTAAAAATTGAAATTAACACTGCCATTTATAGTAAGATTAAAATATACAATATTTAGGGATAAATCTAACACAAGACATGCAAGACATGTACAATTAAAAAATAAGTCATTCCTAAGACAAATTTTTAAAAATGTAAATAAATGAAAGGTTTGTAGGGTGTTAAAACTCAATGGTGTTGTCTATTGTCTCTTAACCTAACCCAGTAGATTCATCCATTGCAATCTTTATCAAGATCCCATTAAGTTTTTCATAAAAATTAACAAGCTTATTGTAGAAATGCAAAGGACCTTGGATATAATTTTTTAAAGAAAACAAATAAAGGACTGTCACTACCTGATATTAAGACTTATTATAGAACTAGTTATCACAGCAGTGTGGATTTGGAGTTCCGGAAACAGAGAGATTGAATTAGAGTCCTGAAATAGTCCCCCATATTTATGTAACACTGAGTTTCAACCAAGATGCAAGGGCATTTCTGTAGAGAAAGAATACTCTCGTCAACAAACGGTTCTGAAACAAGTGTTTACTCATTTACAAATACACACTTATTAGAATGGCTAAAATTAAAAACTAGCCCAAGTGTTGAAGAGAATGTGAGTAAATCTAACTCCCATACACACTGCTGAGACTGTAAAATGGTATAGCCACTTTGGAAAACATTTTGGTATGTCTAAAGAAGTTAAACACTCATTTACCATAAAATCCAATCACTCCATTACTAATTATTTACCTAAGAGAAATAAAAACATATCACTTACAAAAACATATGTTTAGTCTTTTTATTTTACATGATTTTATGAAAGATAACTTTGAAAAAATTTATTTTATTAATGTTCAAATAGTTTTCCTACCACCACTTTCCCTTCCCCACCCATCCCCACTTCCCACCCTCAATCCTACCTCCCTTTGGCTTTTGTCCATGGGTCCTTTGTATTTGTTCACTGATGAATTTTTATTTTTATTCATTATTTTTATTTTTTATTGTTTTCTATTTTTACTATTTTTTAATAATTTTTTTATTGTTCAAGTAGTTTTCTGCCTTTTCCCCCACTGACAAACTTTTTAATAGATTTTATTTACCTTACAGAGTGGGGAGGGAACGGGAGAGAAACATCAGCGTGTGAGACATAGATCAGTTGCCTCTTCCACAACCCCAGCTGGGGGCGGGGGGGGACCAGCCACAAACCAGGAACCTGCAGACTGGGAACTGAACTGGTGGCCTTTTGGTTCACAGGCCAGTACTCAATCCACTGAGCCACACCAGCCAGGGCAAGTCTCTTTATTTCTAATAGCAAAAAACTGGGGGTAGAAAACTGAATGTCCATCAACAGGTAAATATATAAACAAACTGGTATGTCCAACTTAGTAAGAAACGAAATAAAGGACAGGCCCACACAAAATGGGGCAATGTTCAGTGAAAGTAGTCAAAGATCATACCATTATGATCCCATTTATATACTTTTCTAGAAGAAGCAAACTAATCTGCAGTGACAGAAAGATCAGGGATTGCCTGGGGAGCTGACGGGGATTATAAGGCGGTAGGAAAAAATTGAGGGATCATGGTCATGTTCGTTATCCTAATTGTGGTGATGGCTTCACGCCAATTTTACTTCAGTAAAGCTTACTGTTAATTTTATTGGTTTTACTTAAGTAGGTAAGATACACCCATGAATTCATTTGAGATGTGTTCCTTAGGCTTCTGCCGATTGAAGGTCAAAGCCCTTAAGCTGGAGTAGCTACGGAGGATCTGAAGTGCATGCCTTAAATCTTTAGGCCTTATCTGAATTCAAACTCTTATAATTGGCTATTTAACCTATACAGTTTAACCGGCATAGCAGCAGTATTTCTCCAAACGTGTTTTAGGGACTTTTTGTATTGAGTCATCCTCAGATGCTTATTTGAAGACCCCGCTCCACACCTAAGACACCGTGAGTGAAAACCAGTCAGTCATACAGGCATCCGCCGAGCTGCGTGCAGCCCTGATGGCCATGAAGGCGGCCCAACACAACATATTGTAAATATATTTAAAACCGTTTTTTGCTCATCAGTTTTCATTAGTGTTTGTGTATTTAATGTGTTGCCCAGAGAGCCACAAGGTTGGACACCCCTGGTAGAGCCTGGGAATCAACTCAGCTATCTCAAGAATTAAGATGTTCATTAAAATGAAAGTTCACATTATTTATGAAACTTGTGATAATTTTATTCATAACAGTAACAAAATTTATTTACATGTATATACAAGTCATATTAATTATCTTTGCATAAAAATATAAATATTTATACATATGTACAAAGATAGTAAAACATACAAAATTTTCAAACAAGAAAAACAGACAGGATTTCACAAAGAACACTTGAAGATACACACACATTGATAAAGAGGTTAAAGATGACAGAACATTTAAATTAGACCCCATGAGTCAATATTTTCAATAGATATCAGTTTAAGTCAAATAAAATGTATCAAATGCTAACAGATGGTAAACAAAATTTAGACTTAAGACTGGGTAAAATTTTCTTTTAACATAAAATTGAATCAATTTTATTTTACCTCAATCAAGTATCAGATGACTAGTTTTCCTTTTTCTTAAAATATTTAAATTTTCTAATTTATACTGAGAACTTTTCCACATTAAGTTATAAAATACTTTAAGAGGTTGTGCATCCTCTACCTCGTAGGGTGGAAAAATCCCATGTGTTACATTATACATAAAACTGAAAATCACCATACATTTATTCTTATGTTTTTAAATTAAAACCTAACATTTTCTGACTAACCTTCATGATCAGTTAGAACAGATTTTAATCACAATCGTCGTAAATTTGCCTTGCTTTTCTTAGTACCAGGGAGAGGACCCATTTTATAACTGGCTTTTAGAGACTTGCCATTCAAACAGTCTTTGGTGACATGATAATCACACAGACACCTTGTACAATAATCAAACCCACAGCCTTCTCGTTTGCAGATTGCCCGTTGTAAATAGCAGTCATATTTTGCAGGTGAATTACAGCGAATACAGGCTTTGAGGCTTTCATTCTTTTTCAAAGTCTTAGCAACCTAGTAAAAAAAATATTCCATAAACAAATTTTAGTAAAGACAGAATGTAACATAGGAAAAACTAGATAGCATCTCCATACCCTCCCCAATCCATGTATAAAGCACCAATGTCACACATGAGAGAATTCCTGCCTTTAAGGAGCTTACTGTTCAATGGGTAAGAGATTATATAATTTAACAGCTGGTCCAATAGCCATTTCCTAATGCTACTTTTAAATGTTTTTACTGCATGAATGCTGCTCATGCACCAAGGCCTAACCTGCATGGTGACCTTTTCTGTGAAGTCGTCCTGGTACTACTCAGGAGTGGGCTGCTCTTTCACCTCTGGTTTTATGCTCAAAGCACCATTTTTGAGTGAATATACATTATATGACTCATCATAATAAAGAGAAAACTAAATTTTATTACATATAATTTGTGTTTACTGACCAACATATGAGGCAGTCAACATTTTATTTCAAAACACGCACTTTTAACTACAGTTTTTTAATTAAGCTTGCAAAATCATCCACATGGGAGTAGAACTCTAGTAATACACACTACCCAATGATCTGAAGATTTAGTAGGAGGCCTTAAATTTCTGAAAGTTGGCCTCTTTCTATTTGGCTCTCTTCCTCAGATATCAAAGATAGCAACTGGAGAATGTAATACTGAACAGTTTTATAAAAAATTTTTAAATCAAGGTTTTTCCTTATTTTCTTAGTGTTTCCAAATTAGATCTCAACATCACTAAATTGTCGTAAAACTTGTCAAGTGGTATCTATTATTTTCAACATAGAAAGACACATCTCTATACTATTCCAATTTATCAGTTGAGTTATAGTTTCTTAACTCCCTACAGTTTTGAGACTAGAGCGAAGGTGACAGAAGATAAGGTCTCCATTAATAGCTCTAATTATAGTATAATTAAATTGAAGTTCTCCACTTCTTACTCTAAATCTTTTTTAACAAAAAACGGCCCATGTGTCTAATTTATCGATATCGATAAACAAACCTTACCTCAGAAAATTCACTATGCCGACTGTAAGTAGAACCTTTGTGATCAGCCGGACTGGGTAACTTGCCTCCCGCATAGTTTCTGGAGGGCATCTGGGCTGCCGATTTTTGAACAGAAGCCAGTGCAGTTCTGAACCTAACATATTCTCTGGTTGAAGCATGTGATGAAAACTTAATGTTCTTTTCCTAAATAAGAAAATATCTTAATAGGACTTCGATTTATATACAAATGCTTAAACACAGCCACACGGAACTATTCACCTAGACATTTAAAGCCTAATAACTGTTATTGACAGAAATTACAAACCAGAAATTGTGACCATTTGACATTCTTAGCCAATATTGTATTTAAAACATGATTTATAAAGTATTGCTAGGACAAAGATATTCTTCCCACCACCAGTAGATGGCAATAGTCATGATTAAGTGTCACCAGAGTCATGACTAGATTCAAAACTACCTTTTAGGTTAGAAAAATTCCCATTAACACCAGCTTATTGATAAAGAAGTTAAATTGGAGAATTAAAGCAATACTAATCTAGAATAACACAGCTAGTAAGTAATAGCATCAAAATTTGGACCTATGCCTGCCAACTCCCAGTTCTGAAATTTTAATTATATGTTGATCTTGAAGTATTTTTGAAAGTAAATTAATTCCCTTATATAGTAAGAATCTTCAGTATGTAAATAATTTACTGTCCATCTGGTAAATGAAAAAATGCACACAAAATGGCAACCCAGATTATCTAAATGATCAATTCACACTGAGAACTGAGTAATTTTTCCTTTTTTTTTTTACACTTGGACATTCCGTTTCTAGGAATAAATGATTGAGGTGAGAGTCCTTTCCCTTAGGAATTTGAAGAGTTCTGATAAAAGACTGAAATTTTTTTTTAAGATTTTATTTTCTTAGATAGAGGGGAATGGAGGGAAAAAGAGAGGGAGAGAAATATCAACATGTGGTTGCCTTTCATGCACCCCCAACTGGGGACCTGATCTGCAACCCAGGCATGTGCCCCAACTGGGAATTGAACCAGCAACTCTTTGGTTCACAGGCTGGTACGCAATACACTGAGCCACACTAGGCAGGACAAAGGTTTCAAATGCTTTTTGAATGTAAAGGATTTCCAGATTACCTGTAATCTTTTCTATTTCCCCCTTCTATTTCCAATGGCAGAGAGCACTAGCTACTATTTTTAAAATGAAAACATCGAATGCAAAGACTTACTGTAACTCTTTGTATTGCTTTATTGCACAACTGCAATGACCCCTTATCATCTTCTAGAATCTTCTTCCAAGTTGTACTCACTTTAGACACACTGGAAAAGTAAATAATCATGAAGACAAAATTAAAGCAACAGAGTAAGACTTATACATTACAGAAACATTAACAGTGCAAAAAAGAAATTTCTATGCTTCTCAAACTTGAATTTACATTAGCATTACCCAGGGCACTTAAAATTTAAAAAATGCCTCATGTCTAGTCATTTGGGTTTAATTGGTCCAAAATGGGGGCCAGAGTTCTCTATATTTTTTAAAGCTCCCCATGAAGTAATTCTAAGTGCATCCAGGCTTATAATCCCTAATTTGTACTTCATTTTTTCCACAAATACCTGCAAACATCAAGTAAGTAGTCATCAATGTAAATATGCCACCACGTTAGCTATCGGGTAAAAGTTGTACACAAATTTCAAAGTACTCTAGAACACACCACTATCAGGAAAAATCAACTTGTGATGTTCAAGCTGGCTGACAATAAAAACCAACTTACCTGTTTTGCTTTAGCTATGTTTTATAAAGACCACTGGAAATATTGCAAAAATATGAAAATTGAAATAACTGGATTACATGCTACTTTAAAAATTCTTTCATTTTACAGGTAGCACACAAGTAGTAAAGGACTAGCAATCAGGCAAATCATTTGTTATGTTAATGAAACAATTTAAGACTACCCTACACTTTAGCATGAACTGGTGGTACTGAATCATTAGTATATTATATTAATACACTCAAAGCTACAATACTTACTTGATTAAGTCCATATCGCTTAGTTGTGTTAAAATATTTGCTAAGAGATGTCTGAGTCCCCTTCGAAAGAGTTCACTGAGAATATCTACAAATTCTAGGCCCATTTTTCTGCCAATTATATTCTGTAGTGTAAAACCTACGTTATACTCCTTCAGCTTCTCCCAATCTATTTTAGGACTTCGTTTGGCATTCTTTTTTAATGTTGAACAAACCACTTTTGCAAAATGAAGAGCAGGCAGCAAGTTTTTGTTGGGATATTGGTCTGGACTTTGAGTCTGTAGCAGACAAGATTGTGGACTATCATTAAAATTTTCTTCCAGGGAAAGGTTAGCCTCTTCATGTTCAAGGCCACTTTTTTTGGAAAATGAAGAATAGCCACTATCTTCATAAAGTTCATTGGTTTCTAGTTCTTCTATTTCATTTGAACTATTAAGTGTTGGTTGCACATGTTGATTTTCCTTGTTATGCAAGGGCTTACTCTCAGTTTCAAGTTCAACAATCCTTGGGTTCACAATCGGTGATCCAATATCTGATAACCTTTCATAGTCTTTAATGCAGTCTTTAGAAGAACCTTCCAAACATCCAGAAATGTAGGAGCCTAACTTTCCACTATCATCAGGTTTTACCAGTTTAAGTCCAGAATAAGCATGGCTATAGTTAAAATCACACTTCATTTTGACAGAAAGAGAACTTTCTTCTTTGCAACCTACAAAAACAACATCAACATTTACTTAACAGCAAAATGTCAACATATCCTTATTTCTTAAATTGGGATATAAGATTTAATTATTTTAATCTCTCAGCACTATGTATTGCTTAAGTAGCTATGAAATTATCCATTTATTGAGACTTGACAATGAGGAAATATTACTTTATATATCTTATTCTTAAGAAGGTACTTCAAAAGAGACTGCTTTTTAAACTGCACAACTACATTTGACTCTTAAAGAGCCTAGTGACTGAGTAAAAAGTTGTAAAAAAGGGACTATTTCATAAATAGCTCGGCTTGTGGAACAAATAATGAAATGGGAGTGGGGTCTCAACTCAGACATAACCTTATAGTAATCAAATAGCTGTAAGAATCAATGTTTATACCCCGATATTGAAATGACATAGTAATCAGCTTTAACTCTGGCATAACTCAAAACAGCCAGACTTGTTTAGGCTTGTATCATCACCCCAAAGCCTTAGAAATCAGTTAAAATACGTTTAAAGCAGATATTCTCAATCTCTACACTATTAATATTTGGACAAGATACAGTATATACATACTGTATACATATATATAAAATACACATATTGTATACATACATATACGTATGTACTTACAAAACTAATTTGAGTGTTCAGAAATTAGAAATATGAATTAGACCAATGAGGGGGAGTGTAGTGCTGCCACTTAGTTCATTCATCCAATGCCTACTTAGTAACATGATGTGGAGAGAGAAATTAATTAGGAATCTCTTGGAGGTGACATTCTGAGATCTGAAAGCATTGTGGAAATCTAGGAGAGTTCCAGACAGAGGTAAATACTGGAAGCAAGGACAAGTGTTGAGTATTCAAGGAAGAGAAAGTTCTGTAGGGCTGGAACTTACTGAGCTAGGTGATTGAAAAGGAAGGTTGGAGAGGCAGAATGGTTTATAGGATTTTTAGGGTGGGATGGATTTTATTCATTGTATAATAAAGAGCCTTTGAAGGGTTCTAAGTAGAGACATTTGGCATACATTAAAAAATAATCATGTTGCCCTGGCTGGTATAGCTCAGTGGATTGAGCGCAGGCCTGCGAACCACACGATAGAGGTTCGATTCCCAGTCAGGGCATATGCCTGGGTTGCAGGCCAGTTCCCAGCAGGGGACTCTCGAGAAGCAACCACACATTGATGTTTCTCTCCTTCCCTTCCTCTCTAAAGATAAAAAAAAAAAAAAAAATCATGTCAGCTGTAGAAAATGGATTGTAGGAAGGTAGAAGTGGAAGCAGAGAGACTAGTTAGAAACATGTATCACAAGATTCCAGAGTTGGGTACTTCAGACTTGATAACCATAGCGTGGAAATAAAAGATAACTGAACAGATGTGCCATCTATTTAGGAGGGTTAAGTCAAAAGTCAACAGTTTGCTGATTAACTGGATGTGGATGATGAAGGAAAGTGGAGTAAAAAATACTCTGGGGTTTAACTTTTGAGTATCTAAGCTATAAAGTGTCATTTGCCAAGTTGGAGAAAACTGAGGAAGTTAACTCTTTCCTCATCTATAAAATGGAGGTGAGAAAATAACACTGGATATTCCTTGTCACATATGGTCTGATTAACAGAATCTACAGTGTATTTATCACAGTATTTATAAGCCAAATGCCTTCATATTCCTTATTTGTGTAAGACAAACATTTTAAAAATAGCAAAATACACTACAGATGTATGCATTTCATATTATATACTTTTCCTAGGAATGAGATCCAATTTCAAATGAAAATCCCAGCTGGGCCTTACTAGCTTTTGTGACCTAGAACTTTCAATTAGTCTTTCATTTTCAATTTCTCTAAAATGGATGTTAATATCTACCTCGTGAAGGTGGTAGTTTCAACATACCGCATTTTTACATTTCTCATTTACAATCCAATCATGAAAAAGACACCATTAGCTAACTGTGTAAAAGGTAACCTATTTAACTTTTCATTATAGATCTGACATTCCTTATTAATTAAACAGACTACAGTACTTAAGAAATCTTTACAGCTATTCCAGTGTTAAATAATTAAGTTCTACAATCTCCAATACCTTTAAGATAACCACCATGTGCCCAACATTAGGTGTGGCTATTCCTTTAAAAATTTAAGAGCCACAAGGCTTGCCGCCATAAACTGCTTATCAGCCACAATCCCTAAGAGAAATTTCAAAAATACTGAAATGCAATAAAATTTTCAATTTCATTTTCTCAAAATTATAAACAAAAATTCAAGAGGACTGCATATATTTTCTTGAGGAGCAAGGTGGAAAGGGGCACCTGGAATCCAACAATCAAAAAACCTCTTCTAAAAGCCATCAAGCTTCAGAATTTTACAGACATATGATCTGGGATCTTTTAGAAAACAGATATAACCTGTAAAAAGTAAGTATTTTTCTCTCGATTCTTCCAGACTCCCTTCCCAAAGAAATGGGCACCTTCCAGAGATTAGTTAAGTATACAACATCAAAATGATGATTTTTAAATTTTGGTAATTTCTTAGTTAAAATAAATGCATTTACAGTATATTTCCTTTAGAGACAGCAACAAAAAGGATAAAAATAAGTGTTTATTTAAGTGACTTTCATTCCATCCAAGTTTGGGATAAAAACAAAAACCAAAAAACTAGAGCTCCAGGAGCACTGGTTAAAATAACCCATTCTTCAATTCTCACAAAACCAGCTAAATATATCTAAACTCATGGTTTTGTAGTAAAACTATTTCCCCCTCTCCCCCTTTGATTCCAGGCCTTGAGACTGAGTTACTGGATAAGGAGAAGAAAATGAGAAATTGAATGTTTCTGTTTGGAAGTCCCAACAGAGCCTGGTCCGATGAGGGGGGTCCCCGCATTTGGCGGGAGTGGGTGGGGGGGAGACCCTGGAAATGCGGAGGGGTCGGCAGGGTGGCCCTGGAGGGCGCGGGCCCGGCGCAGGAGGCGGGAGATAGCCGCAAGCCGGATCTCCCGCGCCCGCCAGCAAGGCTGAGGTGGCGAAACGGCGGGGCGACGGACTTGGGATCTGCGGGTGCGGCTCTGATACTGCAAAGGGGGGCAGCGACTGGGGTCAGGCACCTGGCCAGGCCCCGGGAGTCGCCCTGCAGAGCCCGAGCCCCCGATGGGGGCGGGGGAGGGGAGGGGGCATTTGGCGCCCATTCAAGCCGGGTGGGCAGGTAGAGCTTCCCAGCGCAGTCAGCAGGGCGCCCTGGGAGGCCTCCACCCGCAACGCCCTCGGAGCTGGCGTCCAGGGTCGGCGTGGCAGGCAGGACCCGGACCCACCATCCCGCCTCAGCACATCTGGCTTCCCATGCCCGAACCGCAGCCGTCCGCCCGGGCCCAGCGTGAGGCCGCGCGCCTGGACTCGGGTCGCAGGTCGCCCAGCCCGCAGCGTGCACCCCTCCTGGAACCCGTAAGCCTCTCGTGCCCCTCCTTTCACTCACTGTCTGAGGGACGAGGACGCCTGGGAGCTGTCACGTCGCTGCCGCTGCAGCGGCAGGAGCTGCTGGGGGAAGGTGGGGAGCAGCTGCAGGCACGCCGGCTCATGCCAGTGTAAGACGCGTCCTCAGGTGAGCGACTAGCAACATCAGTGGAGGAACAAGCCTCCGGCCTCACACAGCTCTATCTTCCAAAAGGCGCCAGCTGGTACTTTTAAGATCTTTGAATTTGGTGCCCAAATCTGCAGGGCCCAATGGGGCAAGTCGTTGGCTGGCGCGCTCCAATGGGAAGGCGGTGGGAGGGGAGGCCCTCACGGAAGCCCAATGGAAGGCTGTGGAGGCGGGGCCAGCCGAGAGGCCGACCCGCCCCCTTCCTTCCTAGCTCTGCGGATCCGGAAGGATGCTGTGGACCGGGCTGGGCCGGAGGCGGGGCCTCGGAGCGCGGGGAGGCCGAGGCCTAGCCCCACGTGGAGGGAGCCTACCACGCATGCGTCCAGACGCCAAGTTGCCATCGACTGTGGGGACAGATCTCCTGCAAGTCCTGATTTCATCTTGAAGGCAGCTCCGTCTTCTCGTTGAAGATCACCGATAGGTACGCAGGGTAGTCGACTTTCTCCGATCATCTCAAGAACTGGAGATCGGTGAGCTGCGACTCCGGTCGTCTGTGAATGCAGCCTTTCCGGTAGACGAACCCTCCCCCCAGCGCCACTCAGCCCGCCTCTCTGGGATTTAGGCGCGCTCTTCTCGATCCCCTAGTTTCACCCCTTTTCCGGCCCGGTGTTTATGCGCAGGCGCTTTTGGCGGGCGGTAGCCTCAAAGTTGGCGGGTTGGCGCTTGCGCTCTGGGGTCCCCCGCGATTCTCTAAGGGGGAAGGGTCACCCACGCTCCAGGCGCGGTTACCTGATCCCGCCGTAGCGGTGGCGCGAGACTTGGAGCGGGGACCTCCTGGGTCCTTCCGGCGGGTGGGAGGATGGGACGGACAAACACTTCATTCTTGTAAGTGTATTTTACTTTCAACCACAGTTCTCTTGCCACCATTACATTGTACGGGCCTTAACCTAATTAAATTTTTATCTGTTCTCCCGGTGTTTGAGTTTGTTTCTTTCCTACAAGGGCCAAGCTCAAAAGACGGTAACCCTGCTCCCAAATAAAACGTCCTGCTGTGGAATTTTCAATCTCCACACCCTGTGGCTGGAGGCCACTGGTCAAGGGAATGACTTTCTAGTGTTGGAGGAATGGATGGAAGTACTCACTGTTACTGTTAATGCTTCAATGACAAGTCGTACCGCTGTATTATTAGTTCTGCTGAATGTTTTTTTTTCACTTTTTGAATGTGCCCGTAAGGAGCGACACTGCACTCCCTGGACTCAGCTCGATCCATAGAGCAATGAAGTTGCAGCATATAAACTCCAAAAGTCCGAAATCTTGTCTTTTGCAGTTTTACTTGTTTGCTTTCCTGCAGGTTCAAGGGAGAGTTAATACTTCATAGTAAGCGTTCAGTTAAATAGATGGAAAGCCCTGGGTGAGGCAGGTAGGGGGGGTCAGGATGGATAGGGATCTGGGTGAGTCATGCCAGTGCAGGCTAGAGGCCATTTTCATGTACAATTTTATTAGGTAATCGTGGCTTTTTATATTGTTTTATTTTTTTAGAATGTTGTATGAAATTAGGTTTTTCTTGGTACCTGAAATTTTGGGCATCTATTCAGTTTTGCGCCTTTAATTCTGTGTCTGGCTTTACATATAGTCTGGCCCTGGTGCTAGAGCCTGGGGTTGATGAGACTAAAGTTCTGTCTGTCCATCAGGGAGCTTAAATACTAACTGGAGAGAAGTTGGGAATTACTTTCAGTAAATGAAAGAGAAACGTAAAACAACAAAAGGGGGAACAGAATGGGCACTAGGAGAGTCGATTAATGACTTTGGGTAGTCAGGAAGTTTTTTGAGTTTTTGGACCAGCATCTGAATGTCCAACTATCAATGCAAAGATCTGCATAATAGGCAGAGGGAAAATGAAAGTGCTCGGCTTGTTCCGGGATTGAAGGATGTCTAGAGGGCACTGAGCAAGGAAGATAGTAGGGGAAGAGGTCAAAGAGGTAGAAGCCACATCCTGTGCCTCTGTAGGTTTGTATGTAGTTCAGAATTTCTTCTGATTGCAACAGGTAGTTTTTGAAGGGATTTTCAGTAAGAATGATTTGTTGAAAAAAATATTGAAACTATAGTGGCTTTTTCTCTACTAAGCACTTGAGAAATGTTCCTTTAATTCGCACATCAACCCTAGCATTATTTTCATTTGATGATTGTGTGAAGAAGTGTAAGGAAATCCCACAGCACCACACAGCTACTAAGCAAAGACTCCAGCCAGTCTGCAGGAAACTATGTACTTTCCTCTATGTTCTGCTGAGGACTGATGTTTCCTGGAGGCTGGATTGTTTATAGTACATTTTTCACATTACTTTCTTTCTTGACCTTAAAGATCATATTTATTTACCTCTTTTCAGTTGCAGAAAAATATGTGAAATTTGAGGGGAGGGGAGTTTCATTTAATTAGTGGAGAACCTGAACTGTAACCTTTGGCTTTTAACCATAGCTTAAAAGGTATTATCCAGCAGTTAAGAATAAAACATGTTACTGAAACAAAATTTCTGTAGTAGTTAATATAAGGTAATATAAAGAGCCCAGTATGTTTTATTGTGTACTGGAATACTTTGTTAGTCTTTCACTTCATTAAGTTACTTGTATTGACTTTTACCTGTTAGTGCTTTAATTATGATGTAATATTAACTGACAACTTATTCAGTAGGTTCATGAGCTCCTGTTAATTTCGTTTTTAAGAAGAAACTTGTAAAGGGCCATTCTAAATTTTTCAAGATGTTGGATAGCTCTTCCTGCAAATCAGTATCAGTTAGAATTGTTGAGTTTTTAGGTACAGATGGAGTGCAGAGACAATCGCCTTCATTCTTATAGCAAATTCTTATTGCCTACAGCTTCTAGACATTAAGGAGCATGTGAAAATAATTGGGACATGGTACTTGCCCTTGTGCTTAACATTTGGGCCTGCAACCTAATAGATATGAGTTGCTCAGTAAATAATCTTTGAGTAAAAGCATGGGGCACAACAGGGGGGAGATAGGGTATATAAAATATAGCTGTAATATAACATTGGGCAGTCAAATACATCTGGTTACAGTAGGACTTTATTTGGACTAGAAAAGTTACTGGTATATGACAGGTCAGCCTCAGCCCTGTTGACATTTTGGGCCAGGTACTTCTTTGTTGTGGGGGGCTATTCTCTGCATTGTAGGATATTTAATAACATTCTTAGCCTGTAATTCCCCCATCCAGTTGTAACTGTCTCCAAACATTGCCAGTGTTCCTCAGGAGCAAGATCGCCTGTAGGTGAGAACCACTAGTGTAGGGGATGTTTTTGAGAGAGTGGAGAGGAGGGAGGACTTCCATGGCATAAGAAGCAAAATGGGCAAAGGTTAAATGCAGGTGCATCCATCATTAACACTATGTAATTTGATACGGCATAACAGGTGGTGTATAAAATTGGCTGATATGATTCTGGGTACAGATACAGGTGTTTATGCACATATAAGAATTAAAGTTTTACATGAGAGGCTGTGGGAACCTATCAAGCTGTTGAGCAAAGGAGTGACAGGATGAGAGCCTTGCAGTTCAGGAGGATGAGTCTGGCAGTTACGTATATGTAACCTAATTAACCAATAGCGGATATGAGAAGTCGGGACTACGAAAATAGTCCATGAGAGAATTAATTCTGGACTAGAGTGGTGGCGATGGAATCAGAGATGACGAGAATGTTTAGTGGGAGAGTAGGATTAGCAGTGACCTACATGTGAAGAAGAAGAATCCAAGATGATTACACTTTAAATCTGAGAGGGAGAATGGTGATGCCACTAAAGAAATTGAGATCACACAATGAGAAATGGGTTATAGAGGAGTATGACAAGTTTCATTTTAAACTGTGATTATCTGTTTATACATCTTCAAAACTCCCATTCTAGCTGAATGACTTGATTAACAAGGGTTGTAGGCCATTTTGAAATTTTTTTTCTGAACAATACCAGATTTCTAGAGAAACATTTCATGTCTAACTGCCTTTTAGACATCTTTGGGGCCTAGCATATAGCATGGTGTTAGGTCCAGAAGAGACAAGAATGAACAACAGTTTTGTCTGCTACTAAGATGGCGTGACAGGTGTAGCAGTATGAGTTTGTTCCATTCCCCGACTCACCCTTTCCCGTTTTCTCTTAAGCACACAGTCCCGAGACAGGAGTAAACCAGTGCGTTTATCCCCTCATCATAAATGTCATACAGGTATGGTAAATTTCTATGGAGTTTTTCGTACCAATGAAAAGCCGTTTCTTTTCAAGCAAAGGTCCCTGGTCTTTCCTTTTCAGGCCCAGTTCTCTGGAGCCCCTCTTCTCAGAAAAGAGCTAATCATACCCAGGATTCCTATCGGAAGAGAAGCAGCTGATTTCTTGTAAATCTAATGGCAGAAACATTGATACAGGGTCACACCAATGTAGCTGCAAGCTCAGTTTTCCTGGTGAATTCTCAATTCACAGGGGTGAAATCATGTCTCATCGGAGAATCGTGCACCTCACATCAGAATGTTCAAACCTAACTTATTTGAGGGTGTATTTTAACAACAAAATGCCAAGTCCCAGGGAAGGGAGGATGAGTCTTAAGCTCTAACTTTCATTTTGTAGGAAATCCTGTGAAATGACACCAATCCTGGTTTAAAGAAACCAATTAAGACATTTTGGGGAGAATTTAGGAAATTGGAATTGGGTATTTGAAGATGTTAGGGAATTATTGTGAATCTTGTTAGGTGTGATGATAGTAAATGAAGTAGAATGTCATTTTTTAAAATGTAAGCTGAAGTATTTAGGAGTTAAGTGTTAAGGTCTAACACTTAAGCAAATATGAAAAGAATCAATTATTGACACTAGGTAATGAGTATGGATGTTTGTGCCAGTTGCCAATTTTGTTGCCCCTCAGCAACAAATCCCCCCTTCACGCGACTGACTTCTGTGATACGGAACCTGGACCTGCAAACACTACTCCTTTGCCAGATGGCAGCGTATTAACTTTATCAGTCGGTGGTGGTGGAGGGACAGACAGCATGGTAGGAAGGGACTTGTCTTGTTTCCAGTGTGCTTCCTCGTTTCTGTGGCACAGCTGCCAGAGTGCTCTTGGAAACAGGATTAATGGCTAATTTTAATGTGTCCACTTGGCTAGGCCACACTGTGCCCAGATGTCTCTGGGTGTTTTGTGAAGGTTTTTTTTTTTTTTTTTTTTTTAATGAGATTAACACTTAACTCAGTGAACGCTGTACAGCAAAATGCCCTCCATAATGGGATGGGCCTCATCCAATCCAAAATCCTGAAAAAAGCAAAAACACTGGCCTCTCCTGGGCAAGAAAGACTCCACCAGCCAACTGCTTCGGGACAGGAACCACAGCGTCAGCTCTGCTGGCTCTCCAGCCTGCTGACCCACACTGCAGATTGTGGACGCGCTAACCTCCATAATCCAGTGGCCCAGCTCCTGAGTTGTTCTCTTATACACACATATTCCGCTGGTTCTGTTTCTCTGGGGAACTGATGAATGCAGACGAC